TTGTTTAAGAGAAGGGCAAACCTCCAAAATTTCTGGTCTTCAAAATATTTGCCATTTCCTTGGTAGGGCTTATTTATTCCCTGATGTGGATTTACTAGATCTAAGCCCAATTTCTAGCTATCACAAATGAAAAGGTTTCTTCAATATCTTTTAATATAGCATGGAATAGATTCCAAAATTAATTTTCAGGTTCTGATCATGAAATGGTGTTTTGAGACGCACGGGTGGGTTTGAAAAATGTGTAAACACATATCGCATTATGGGCAAACAGTTTTCTTATCAAAAGATACCCACTTCCATAAGTTAAACCTTGGACAGCAGAAATGACACACAGTAGTTGCCTAAGCATATATGCCATGCATGTTTAATATTTATGAAGTAAGTAAGTTCCCTAGTTTTGGCAAAACCCTGAACCCAGCTTGTGTAAAGTGACAACAGGGCAATGAAGACTTCAGCTGAAATCCAGATGTTTGTCTCCAGGTATAAACACTGATAGAAACAAAAATTTCACTAAATGAAAAGCTAAATGGATATTCTACATTTCAAATGACTGGATTTAGACAATTAGATAATAAACACAAAAAGAAAAACCCAAATGCTCTGTTCATTTATTGTTTCCAACTTCAACAGAGCTCTCATTTGAGACAGATACTCCATGGCATTTCACAAAAATGTAATGCAACTGACAGCCGCTTCTAGTATTAAATCTGAGGTAAAAGCAAGCAAGCAGCATAAGTAGCTTTATATTGAAAAGTAAAATACTGGGACATTTCAACTGGAAGACACAAAAGATTCCACGTCAGAAGAGGGTGTAGATGAAAAGGGGGACAGATTCAGGGACTGATTTAATTTCACCATGCACAGAGCTTCTATTGTCTCTAACAAGTTGAGTGAATGTGGCACTGAATTTATAGAATTAATTATTATTGCAGTGTCTAGTGGCCGCAACTGATCAGAGTACCACTGTACTCTGTAAGACCTGTACACTGCATTGAACTCTCTTGTTTGGCAAGAATATGACTAGGACCATGGTTCTTATGTTCAGGGTCACATATTAACCATAAGTCTAGAGGAGTTTTGCTGGTGTGTGTTTATTTGTTTTGTAATCTTTTATATGTGCACAACTAGGTAAAATTTCTCTCGGGATTTTTGCCAACCTCTCAAGGAAATGTTAGCCACTCACCTGAGTGACAGTATGACTAGGTTAAATCTAGCTAATATGTAATTTTTGTAAAATTTCTATATTTGTTAAACCTCAATCAAAATTCCCATAAAGCTTCAGAAGTTGCACTTGATCCAGTCCAAAGGACAAAGTGAAATTCTGATATTTGTGCACTAGAGCAAATAGACTCTCTATGCAGCCCAGCCTGCAGAGGATGCAAGATCAAGTGGTAAGGGTCAGAGAAGCATTAAAAAAATTGCCTACTTCCAGTTTTGCTTTAATAACATCAGCGATGGTTTGGTGCCCCCCAGTCTCATTTCAATGCAATATTATTATAGCTTCAATGGCAGTAGAGCCGACTGGTTGCTACCAGTTGGCTCTACTGCCATTGAAGCTATAATAATACACGGGTGTCTCTACACTAATGGAATTTGCTACCAGGAACTTCCAGCAGCAGACAGTAACCACCCACCACTAAGCCCACCAAGTGCTCATCAGTGCAGTTTTAGTAGCTCCACTCAATAGCACAGTACACTCTGGAAAGACACAGCTGGCAAAGGGACTGCTGAAGCAAACACCAGCTTTCTTCTGATTGGAAAGGTGGTAGATCTGTGGGCAGAAAGGAGTTCTGTCACTGCAGAGGAGCTCTGAAGCTCACTCAGTTTTGTCAGAAGACCTGAAATTCTGCAAGAAAAACTAGAGATCGCGTACACCAGATTTAAGATGGATTAGCTTGGCATTTCAGCTGGGCCTGCAAAGAGGTTTTCATGTATACCTTCCATTAAGTGTCAGTTTGTCAGATGTAGGTCTCACACTAGTGCGAGCTGAGAGCTTACCTGGGAATTCTGAGATGGTTCCACAAGATTAACATATGAATCACCCCCATACTTCCATTTTTATATTATGGAATGTTATGAAGGATAAAGAGAACGGTCTCTTCTCCTGCAGACAATTAAAACTGAACAAATCAATTCGTGTGAATTTTATCACTAACCTGACATTTCACAAACCAGTCAACATCCTTGCAAGGCAAAAAGCCTTAACTTAGGCCATGCAAGCAACAGGAGTTCAGTGATCTAGGGTTACAAAGCAGCTGATCTTCTAAGTTTTGGAATTAAACTGTATATACAATGCTGGGAAGATATCTACATTAAAGTATAGTGCGATTTAAAGCACAATACCCACTCATGAGTAACTCCATGAGTTGAGATTTCTTCCAGAATAGAAGTAGCTTAGTTTCCAGTTAGCTAAGTAGACTTTCAAAGTGGATTAACTAAACCACAAGGTTTTCCCCCTCCAATCCCCAAGGTTCTTTTACAAGTTCATCTGTAGATGAACCTAGTCAAGAGCAGCTAAAGCTAGTTCAAAATGGGTTCAGGTGTAGCCAAGCCCTAAATCTTGCTTTTTCACATGATTAATTCACCTCCTAAAAGTTAAATTATGGTTTGCGTAGGGATGATCTTGCCCTCAGGCAGGCAGCTGAAAGAGATGACTTCTAGAGCTGCATTTTTCAACCTGTGGGTCACAAGAATATAGGAAAGGGTCATGAACAAACTGTAAAAATGGATTCTCCTCTAAAGGAGAACAATGTGGGAAACTGTAGCTTTTCCCCTCACACGTTGGCATAGTTCTAGCCTGCCAGGGGCTGCTTCAGGCCCCCCAAAATTCCCCCCACACATCCTGCCCCACACACCCACCCCCTGGTCTAGGACTGGCCATTGATGCTTACAAATGGGTCCTGGTATAAGAAAGGTAGAGAGCCGCTGGTCTAGAGGTCCCTTCCAACCCTACTGCTCTAGGATTCTCCCGCCGGCAGCTACAAGCCAGTGGTGACTTACAGGAGCTAAGTCCCCTGTAGACAGCTAAGAGAGAGAGAGGAGCTACCTCAACACTAGGAGCACCCACCACAGCATCAACCAACTCGACTCAGTTCTCACTGGATTCTGCACAGGTCCACTTGGCCCTGCTGGAGGAAAGGCACTAAACACTATGTCCTTGAACCAGGGGAAGAGGGAAAAACAGGATTTCAAAAGAAGCAGCTCTCAGCATCATGGACTCCAAGAAAGATAATACACAACTTTTCACCCCCACCTCTGTGGCCCTGGCTGGACCTGCTACCGATACAAACCTCATCAGGAGCAGCTGCAGCTATCCTGAAATGGCCCTACATGTACCCATGCCTCTAAAATCTTTTTATTTCACCTTACTGATTCATCCCCCAGAACAGCCACTCCCAGCCTGTAGTACATGTACCACCAGTGGTGCACACACAACCTGTGAGTGGTAGGAACGAACAAATGTACCATCATTACTTGACCTGGCGCTACTTAAAGGTTGTATCATCTCAAACCGCTGGTGCGTAATCTGCCAGAGTCTGAGAACTGTTAGACGTTACATTACGGTTGTATAGGAGAGTTGGCAGATAGGTAAGGCAGCCTCAGCCACGCAGCTGAATAAGATGCCCTCTGGAGGCCCGTACCCACCTGCTTCCAACAGGCAGCAGAAAAGGAAGCTCCCCCTTGCGAGGGAGCAGCTCCCGCGGCACTCAACGCACCTGACCCAACGGGGGAGGAGCTGGGGGCAGCAAGAGTCGGGCCGCCACGTGCGTGCGACCTGAGGCTGCTCCGGCCCCGGGAGCTGTGGGGAAGAAGAGGACAGGCTCCGGCCGCCGCCGCCCCCGCCCCCACCCCCACCCCGGCACTCACCTCGCGGGGAGACGCGGCACGGGCCGGACAAGGGGGCAGGCGACGCGGAACCAGCGGGCCGAACGCAGCAAGGCTGCCATGATGGTCACCCCCACGAGCACACGCAGCGGAAAGGAAGGGCACGTGACCGGGCTCGGCCGCACCACTGCGCTCGGGGGCGGGAAGAACCACGTCGCCGAGGGGGAGGACAACGAACCGCCCTGCTGGTTCCTCGCGGGCCACTTTAAATTATAATAATAATGATGATAAGAGAGAGGGGTCAGGTTGGTTCTACGCCTCTCCTGCCCTTCATCAGCGCGGTGGTACAGTTCCCTAAGGTCAGCTCTGCAGGTCTGAACCCGGACGCGGGAGGTGCCGGTAGCCAGGGCCAACCAGAACCCAACCCGAAGTTTTTTTAGAAGGAGGGACTGGCTACTCAAGCTGGGCAGTGAGCCTGAGGAAGGAAGGAAGGACGGACTCAGGCGCTATGCGACTAGGGTGTCATCCGTGCGCCTTATGAGCTGGCAGATCCCCCTGCACAGCACGACCCAACTTCAGAGCGGCTGATAGTTGGCCGCGCATACCCGACCGCTTGGAGCAACGGGTCTAGGGGGAGGTCACGTGGGGGCAGCCAGGCCCCGCCCCCTAAAGGCGGGGCCTAATTCCATCAGTCCCGCCTAATTATCTTCTTAGGGGAACCCGCTGGAAGTTGAGATCCTTCTAGCTGGGTTTCTAGCCAGGTTCTGGCCGTATTGGTTTAGAGGAAAAAGCAATCGGGACTGCTGGTAGAGGTGATATCTTTTATGACACCAACTAGATGTTTGCAAAAAAAAAAAAAATCTTTAATTTTTTGCAAACATCTAGTTGGTCTAATAAAAGATATCATCTCTACCACAAGCCCTAATTGCTTTCTCCTTGGATTTAACACCTAAAAAGAAAATCAGCCATACACTGTGTCTCAGCTGGGCCTCCTGTGAGCAAAGCTGAAGAAGGATACATCGTAACCATAAGACCTACACCAAGGGACATGCTGGAGTACATTCACATAGCTTTTGCAAGCCTTGCTGGGGTCCCTACAAATTCTAGAGAGATTATTGTCAAGGCCAAAATTGTGACCTGGAAATTTAGAAATTGGGAGTTAGGGTTAAGCAAATATAACACATATCTTTTGGGAAGTGTTTTTCTTTAAAAAAAAGCAACTGTTTGTGTGCTAAACTGTAGACCCCTCAAAACTTTAACTGCTGGAAACCTGGCAGTTAAAATTCCAGTGTAAGCTCACCCACCAAAACACTGAAAAGTTTTGAAGTCAATTGGTATCAAAAGCTGCTAAAACAGTAAGAAGGAAGCGGAAACTCTGCTCCATACTTTAACTACTTAGGAAATATATCATAGACTCATAGAAATCAGGTTTGGAAGGGACCTCAGGAGGTCATCTAGTTCAACCCACTGCTCAAAACCAGACCATCCCCAACTAAATCATCCCAGCCAAGGCTTTGCTAGCCAGGTCTTAAAAGCCTCCAAGGACGGAGAGTCTACTGCCTCTCTGGCTAACCTGTTCCAGTGCTTTATTACTCTCCCGGTGAAAAAGTTCCTAATGTAACCCGGGTAGTACTCCAAAAGGTACCCCCTCTCCAATTGAAGGGATCAAAGCAGGTGCACAGGCACTGTGGGAGGTGTAGGGACTCTCCTCCCCCTATAGAGCAGAGCTAGACCGCCAATGGGGACTTAACCATACACCTTTTGATGAGAGAACAGTACTGGGAACATAACTAGCATAAACCAGGGGGTATAGGGGACGCTACAATGCCCCGAGGGGCAGGATTCAACAAAGGCTAGACACTTACAATCATAGACATATTCATCCAGTTGATAAAAGACAGGGTTAACCAAAATGTAAAACACAAACAGCAGAACAAACAATACTGGTTGGTGAAACATAAAAGGCACAAAATACAAAATGTCAAATGACAAGGAATATAGGGCCTAGGTACCTGGAGGGGGACAACAGAACAGCCCCTTTCCACTGCAAGAGGAATTTCTCCCTGTTAGCTCACTTACCCCAAGCCACCACAGCTGGGACTTGGATCTCCCATGTGGTAGGTAGAAATGCTACCATACAGCCAGCCACCAGTGGTGGCACTGCTCTAGGCTGCTAGGGGTCTTGACCTTCCCAGAGCCCTTGCCTCATATCGAGCTGCCTGGCCTCTGATTGGAGGAGCTGGAAGCAGGGCTGGGAACCCCTCAGGTCCCTGCTCAGATCCTGGCTGGAGCGGGGGAGCCTCTCCTGCTGGCTGCAGCCTCTCATAGGCTATCCTGGAGCCCAGTGGGGAGCCTCTCCTGCCAGCTGCACGCTGCGCTGCTGAGGGTCCCACTGCTGCCTGCAGG